AGCCCACCAGATGGCTAGCAACTCAGTTGTGAACACAGATACTGTATGGAAATATTGATGGTTGATTGTATTTTTAATCATCAGAAAATGCGTCTCAATGTTTGTCTGTGTCCGAGAGGGAGATTTAAAATGTATTTATATTAAAAGCAACGGTTGTAGGACCTGAATAAAAGAGCCACTGGAGTGAGCAGGTCATTAAAAACCAGAGAATCAAAATAAAACACATTTATTACAATAACATTATTTATAATGTAATGTGTGGATACCATGAATAAAAAGTGTAGTATCTTTGTGGAAATGATGCTAAAGAGCTCATTATGGGTCTACCTGGAGGAAAGTGTGTGTTTGGTCTGTAAAGCTCAGCAGCTGCAGCACAGGGTTAAGACTAGGGCTGGGAATTGGAAAAAATGTGACAATTGGATAATATTGTGATGGTGAAATACTGTGAGTGTCTGGATGAGCTGATAATGGATACGACGTCAACTGAGTCTTTCTGGGTCAGAAGGAACAGGCAAACTCCAGGTGTACAGTTGTTTATGGAAGAGGAGGGAACAGGTTTATTGCAGACGTAGATGGTGGATTGGGAGGTTTATGCTTTCATATGAAAGGGTTACAGGTTGAGGAGGAGTATCCAGGTACTAAGGAGGGTATAGCAGCAGGTATACGGAGGTGATGAAGATGTGTATCTGTGCTTTTCTGGAATCAACACAAAAGATCAAATGTTTATTAAAAACAGCCTTTTAGACTATGAACACAGATACACTGTAATCAATGAGTGACATTAGAACCGTAGACGTTCTCCTCCACTCACAGAACGAGCCTGCGTCCTCTAGTCTCTACAGCCTGCGTCCTCTAGTCTCTACAGCCTGCGTCCTCTAGTCTCTACAGCCTGTGTCCTCTAGACTCTACAGCCTGCGTCCTCTAGTCTCTACAGCCTGTGTCCTCTAGTCTCTACAGCCTGCGTCCTCTAGTCTCTACAGCCTGCGTCCTCTAGTCTCTACAGCCTGTGTCCTCTAGTCTCTACAGCCTGTGTCCTCTAGACTCTACAGCCTGTGTCCTCTAGTCTCTACAGCCTGTGTCCTCTAGTCTCTACAGCCTGTGTCCTCTAGTCTCTACAGCCTGTGTCCTCTAGTCTCTACAGCCTGTGTCCTCTAGTCTCTACAGCCTGTGTCCTCTAGTCTCTACAGCCTGTGTCCTCTAGTCTCTACAGCCTGTGTCCTCTAGTCTCTACAGCCTGTGTCCTCTAGTCTCTACAGCCTGCGTCCTCTAGTCTCTACAGCCTGCGTCCTCTAGTCTCTACAGCCTGCGTCCTCTAGTCTCTACAGCCTGCGTCCTCTAGTCTCTACAGCCTGTGTCCTCTAGTCTCTACAGCCTGTGTCCTCTAGTCTCTACAGCCTGTGTCCTCTAGTCTCTACAGCCTGTGTCCTCTAGTCTCTACAGCCTGTGTCCTCTAGACTCTACAGCCTGTGTCCTCTAGTCTCTACAGCCTGTGTCCTCTAGTCTCTACAGCCTGTGTCCTCTAGTCTCTACAGCCTGTGTCCTCTAGTCTCTACAGCCTGTGTCCTCTAGTCTCTACAGCCTGTGTCCTCTAGTCTCTACAGCCTGCGTCCTCTAGTCTCTACAGCCTGCGTCCTCTAGTCTCTACAGCCTGCGTCCTCTAGTCTCTACAGCCTGCGTCCTCTAGTCTCTACAGCCTGTGTCCTCTAGTCTCTACAGCCTGTGTCCTCTAGTCTCTACAGCCTGTGTCCCTCTAGTCTCTACAGCCTGTGTCCTCTAGTCTCTACAGCCTGTGTCCTCTAGTCTCTACAGCCTGTGTCCTCTAGTCTCTACAGCCTGTGTCCTCTAGTCTCTACAGCCTGTGTCCTCTAGTCTCTACAGCCTGTGTCCTCTAGTCTCTACAGCCTGTGTCCTCTAGTCTCTACAGCCTGTGTCCTCTAGTCTCTACAGCCTGTGTCCTCTAGTCTCTACAGCCTGTGTCCTCTAGTCTCTACAGCCTGTGTCCTCTAGTCTCTACAGCCTGTGTCCTCTAGTCTCTACAGCCTGTGTCCTCTAGTCTCTACAGCCTGCGTCCTCTAGCCTCTACAGCCTGTGTCCTCTAGTCTCTACAGCCTGTGTCCTCTAGTCTCTACAGCCTGTGTCCTCTAGTCTCTACAGCCTGTGTCCTCTAGTCTCTACAGCCTGTGTCCTCTAGTCTCTACAGCCTGTGTCCTCTAGTCTCTACAGTCTGCGTCCTCTAGTCTCTACAGCCTGTGTCCTCTAGTCTCTACAGCCTGTGTCCTCTAGTCTCTTCTAGTCTCTACAGCCTGTGTCCTCTAGTCTCTACAGCCTGTGTCCTCTAGTCTCTACAGCCTGTGTCCTCTAGTCTCTACAGCCTGCGTCCTCTAGTCTCTACAGCCTGTGTCCTCTAGTCTCTTCTAGTCTCTACAGCCTGTGTCCTCTAGTCTCTACAGCCTGTGTCCTCTAGTCTCTACAGCCTGTGTCCTCTAGTCTCTACAGCCTGCGTCCTCTAGACTCTACAGCCTGTGTCCTCTAGTCTCTACAGCCTGTGTCCTCTAGACTCTACAGCCTGTGTCCTCTAGTCTCTACAGCCTGTGTCCTCTAGTCTCTACAGCCTGTGTCCTCTAGTCTCTACAGCCTGTGTCCTCTAGTCTCTACAGCCTGTGTCCTCTAGTCTCTACAGCCTGTGTCCTCTAGTCTCTACAGCCTGCGTCCTCTAGTCTCTACAGCCTGTGTCCTCTAGTCTCTACAGCCTGTGTCCTCTAGTCTCTACAGCCTGCGTCCTCTAGTCTCTACAGCCTGTGTCCTCTAGTCTCTACAGCCTGCGTCCTCTAGTCTCTACAGCCTGCGTCCTCTAGTCTCTACAGCCTGTGTCCTCTAGTCTCTACAGCCTGTGTCCTCTAGTCTCTACAGCCTGCGTCCTCTAGTCTCTACAGCCTGTGTCCTCTAGTCTCTACAGCCTGTGTCCTCTAGTCTCTACAGCCTGTGTCCTCTAGTCTCTACAGCCTGTGTCCTCTAGTCTCTACAGCCTGTGTCCTCTAGTCTCTACAGCCTGTGTCCTCTAGTCTCTACAGCCTGTGTCCTCTAGTCTCTACAGCCTGTGTCCTCTAGACTCTACAGCCTGTGTCCTCTAGACTCTACAGCCTGTGTCCTCTAGTCTCTACAGCCTGTGTCCTCTAGTCTCTACAGCCTGTGTCCTCTAGTCTCTACAGCCTGTGTCCTCTAGTCTCTACAGCCTGTGTCCTCTAGACTCTACAGCCTGTGTCCTCTAGTCTCTACAGCCTGTGTCCTCTAGTCTCTACAGCCTGTGTCCTCTAGTCTCTACAGCCTGTGTCCTCTAGACTCTACAGCCTGTGTCCTCTAGTCTCTACAGCCTGTGCCTCTACAGCCTGTGTCCTCTAGTCTCTACAGCCTGTGTCCTCTAGTCTCTACAGCCTGTGTCCTCTAGTCTCTACAGCCTGTGTCCTCTAGTCTCTACAGCCTGTGTCCTCTAGTCTCTACAGCCTGTGTCCTCTAGTCTCTACAGCCTGTGTCCTCTAGTCTCTACAGCCTGTGTCCTCTAGTCTCTACAGCCTGTGTCCTCTAGTCTCTACAGCCTGCGTCCTCTAGTCTCTACAGCCTGTGTCCTCTAGTCTCTACAGCCTGTGTCCTCTAGTCTCTACAGCCTGTGTCCTCTAGTCTCTACAGCCTGTGTCCTCTAGTCTCTACAGCCTGTGTCCTCTAGTCTCTACAGCCTGTGTCCTCTAGTCTCTACAGCCTGTGTCCTCTAGTCTCTACAGCCTGCGTCCTCTAGTCTCTACAGCCTGTGTCCTCTAGTCTCTACAGCCTGCGTCCTCTAGTCCCTACAGCCTGTGTCCTCTAGACTCTACAGCCTGTGTCCTCTAGTCTCTACAGCCTGTGTCCTCTAGTCTCTACAGCCTGTGTCCTCTAGACTCTACAGCCTGTGTCCTCTAGCCTCTACAGCCTGTGTCCTCTAGACTCTACCGCCAACAGCCGAATCCCAGAAGTTTCACAGTAATATACAGGGCCGAAAAGAGACGAAAATCACACTTTTCATGCAGTGAAACATGTGTAATTTTTTTCATGTATTAATTTAAATAATTGTTTCCTGATCGTACATTTACCATTTATCTTTCGCGTTAATCTTTACATACACCTCGCTCTTTTTTCTCTTGCTCTGTCCCCTTGGAAACTTGCTCTGTCCCCTTGGACACTTGCTCTGTCCCCTTGGACACTTGCTGTGTCCCCTTGGACACTTGCTCTGTCCCCTTGGACACTTGCTCTGTCCCCTTGGACACTTGCTCTGTCCCCTTGGACACTTGCTCTGTCCCTTGGACACTTGCTCTGTCCCCTTGGACACTTGCTGTGTCCCCTTGGACATTTGCTCTGTCCCCTTGGACACTTGCTGTGTCCCCTTGGACACTTGCTCTGTCCCCTTGGACACTTGCTCTGTCCCCTTGGACACTTGCTCTGTCCCCTTGGACACTTGCTCTGTCCCCTTGGACACTTGCTGTGTCCCCTTGGACACTTGCTCTGTCCCCTTGGACACTTGCTGTGTCCCCTTGGACACTTGCTGTGTCCCCTTGGACACTTGCTCTGTCCCCTTGGACACTTGCTCTGTCCCCTTGGACACTTGCTGTGTCCCCTTGGACACTTGCTGTGTCCCCTTGGACACTTGCTCTGTCCCCTTGGACACTTGCTGTGTCCCCTTGGACACTTGCTCTGTCCCTTGGACACTTGCTGTGTCCCCTTGGACACTTGCTGTGTCCCCTTGGACACTTGCTGTGTCCCCTTGGACACTTGCTCTGTCCCCTTGGACACTTGCTCTGTCCCCTTGGACACTTGCTGTGTCCCCTTGGACACTTGCTCTGTCCCCTTGGACACTTGCTGTGTCCCCTTGGACACTTGCTGTGTCCCCTTGGACACTTGCTGTGTCCCCTTGCTCTCTCCTCACCGCCGTGCGCTCCCATCCACACACACACACACACACATTACCCACAGAGCTACTGCACTTATGAGAGACAGATCTCACAACACTGGATATGTTGGAGTTCTTTTCTCTCATTTTTCCAATTGCTTTCAATAAGTTTAGATCACTAGTCCGTTTTACGGACGTCCGACGGACAGCAGCCAACGCGCGTCAACGGAGACGCGCCCGGTGGAGTCCAGACCTCACCGTGGCCATACCTCCAAAAGCACGTCACTTTAGTGGAGACGAGCGAACAGAAATGTTTTCAGATCCTACTCTGTAATCCCAGAGAAAGCTCCTCTGACTGATAATAAGGCTGTAGGATGTTACCATTGTTTTCATAAACTGGTCAGACATAGTTCTAGCACAGTTCATTTGTAAACTTATGTGTTTTCTTTTCAGTTTCAGAGGGTATTCTTGCTTAAATAGAGCCATTAATTGGCTTGGATTCACATTTGTTTCGTGTTTATTGGGCTATTGTTATAAACAACAGTTAAAAAACATTTCTAATGAAGTACATGTTAATTTGTAATGGCTTATTGCTATAATTTCTCAATTTATTTTATTTACAATTGCAAAGGGCATTCTTGTCTTTTGTTGTTGGTGTTTTGGGCTATTCTATAAATATCTAAATTTTAACCTTTTTCTGACTGACAGTTTAGTATTTATCACTAAAATTGCATAGACTGCAGTTTGTTTATTTGAAAGTAGCTTCTATATAGCAAACTACTTTTGACAGAATTTTGTAACTTAGCTTGCTGCATTTTTATGGGTGGTAGCTTCTGTAAAGTGAAGCTGAATTTATTGTAGAGTAGCTTAGCTAACTGCATAAATCAAGTAGCTTGCCCATCACTGGTAGTTTATGTAGTCACATGTGAGAGCTAGCTGCTAACAGGGGACTGCGAGCGTGTGATATGGAGAGACCATGAGGATTTGTGTTTTATTTATTTTTTATACAGAACTGCAGATAAAGTCAACCAGTGATCCTACATGTGTCGTCGTGGTCCTTAATCAGCCAGCGCACCCCTATGTCAGACTGTACATTTCCCTATTTCTGTTTCTAAAGTTCATTGTATGACGTCATAGTTTATATCTGTTCATAGCCACATGAACAGACCCAGGACTGAGGCTGTAGACCCAGGACTGAGGCTGTAGACCCAGGACTGAGGCTGTAGACCCAGGACTGAGGCTGTAGACCCAGGACTGAGGCTGTAGACCCAGGACTGAGGCTGTAGACCCAGGACTGAGGCTGTAGACCCAGGACTGAGGCTGTAGACCCAGGACTGAGGCTGTAGACCCAGGACTGAGGCTGTAGACCCAGGACTGAGGCTGTAGACCCAGGACTGAGGCTGTAGACCCAGGACTGAGGCTGTAGACCCAGGACTGAGGCTGTAGACCCAGGACTGAGGCTGCAGACCCAGGACTGAGGCTGTAGACCCAGGACTGAGGCTGTAGACCCAGGACTGAGGCTGCAGACCCAGGACTGAGGCTGCAGACCCAGGACTGAGGCTGCAGACCCAGGACTGAGGCTGTAGACCCAGGACTGAGGCTGTAGACCCAGGACTGAGGCTGTAGACCCAGGACTGAGGCTGCAGACCCAGGACTGAGGCTGCAGACCCAGGACTGAGGCTGTAGACCCAGGACTGAGGCTGTAGACCCAGGACTGAGACTGTAGACCCAGGACTGAGGCTGCAGACCCAGGACTGAGGCTGCAGACCCAGGACTGAGGCTGTAGACCCAGGACTGAGACTGTAGACCCAGGACTGAGGCTGTAGACCCAGGACTGAGGCTGTAGACCCAGGACTGAGGCTGTAGACCCAGGATGCTGTGTCCCCTTGGACACACACTTAAAAACTTGACTTAAAATGACTTTAATGAAAGTGCACCTTTTCGTTTACACTTCTCCTGACGGCCTCCCCCTGCCCCCCCAGGCGCTCCCAGCCACCCCCACGTGGTGAAGACGGCCTCCATCGGGACCCTGGGCCGGACGCGGACCCCGATGATCGTGACGGTGCCCAACGCCCCGGACGTCCCGGAGACCAGCCGGATGTTGGAGGACGTGGACAGTGTGAGTCTCGGACACGTCTTCCTGAACATCGACGTGCTCCTCTGACCTCACGCTCACAGGAACCGTCCGGACGCCGCCGTTAACTCTGTCTTTCTGTTTCTCCTCTTTTCCGTCTGCTTCTGTCGGCGCATGTTTGTCTTTTAATCAATAACTTTTCAAAAACACCTGGAATGATTTTGTTGCTTTTTTGTTTCGTTTATTTGGAATGCTTTTCTGGATGTTTTTCCGGCTGCTTTTTTCTTTTTGACCAGAGAGTTTCAGGAGAGAGACCAGAGAGAAACCAGGAGAGAGACCAGAGAATAACAGGAGAGAGACCAGAGAATAACAGGAGAGAGACCAGAGAGTAACAGGAGAGAGACCAGAGAGAAACAGGAGAGAGACCAGAGAGAAACAGGAGAGAGACCAGAGAGAAACAGGAGAGAGACCAGAGAGAAACAGGAGAGAGACCAGAGAGTAACAGGAGAGAGACCAGAGAGTAACAGGAGAGAGACCAGAGAGAAACAGGAGAGAGGCCAGAGAGAAACAGGAGAGAGACCAGAGAGTAACAGGAGAGAGACCAGAGAATAACAGGAGAGAGACCAGAGAGTAACAGGAGAGAGACCAGAGAGTAACAGGAGAGAGACCAGAGAATAACAGGAGAGAGACCAGAGAGTAACAGGAGAGAGACCAGAGAGAAACAGGAGAGAGACCAGAGAATAACAGGAGAGAGACCAGAGAGTAACAGGAGAGAGACCAGAGAGAAACAGGAGAGAGACCAGAGAATAACAGGAGAGAGACCAGAGAATAACAGGAGAGAGACCAGAGAGTAACAGGAGAGAGACCAGAGAATAACAGGAGAGAGACCAGAGAATAACAGGAGAGAGACCAGAGAGTAACAGGAGAGACCAGAGAGAAACAGGAGAGAGACCAGAGAATAACAGGAGAGAGACCAGAGAATAACAGGAGAGAGACCAGAGAGTAACAGGAGAGAGACCAGAGAATAACAGGAGAGAGACCAGAGAATAACAGGAGAGAGACCAGAGAGTAACAGGAGAGACCAGAGAGAAACAGGAGAGAGACCAGAGAATAACAGGAGAGAGACCAGAGAGTAACAGGAGAGAGACCAGAGAGTAACAGGAGAGAGACCAGAGAGAAACAGGAGAGAGACCAGAGAGAAACAGGAGAGAGACCAGAGAGTAACAGGAGAGAGACCAGAGAGTAACAGGAGAGAGACCAGAGAGAAACAGGAGAGAGGCCAGAGAGAAACAGGAGAGAGACCAGAGAATAACAGGAGAGAGACCAGAGAATAACAGGAGAGAGACCAGAGAGTAACAGGAGAGACCAGAGAATAACAGGAGAGAGACCAGAGAGAAACAGGAGAGAGACCAGAGAGAAACAGGAGAGAGACCAGAGAGTAGAAGGAGAGAGACCAGAGAGAAACAGGAGAGAGACCAGAGAGTAATAACTTTACTCTCTGGTCTCTCTCCTGTTATTCTCTGGTCTCTCTCCTGTTATTCTCTGGTCTCTCTCCTGTTACTCTCTCTGGTCTCTCTCCTGTTACTCTCTCTGGTCTCTCACACTCGGGACACTTGTCGATTGATGGCTGTTTGGCTTCACTCCTCTGTGCTTCAGGACACAGCTGCAGACTCAAAAACGTGCTAATCATTAAGAATTCACCAACGAAACATTCAGGCTTCGGTTCATCAGACAAACACGGCTCACAGACCTGGAGTTGTGTTTCGCTCCATACAGGCTTCGGTTCATCAGACAAACACGGCTCACAGACCTGGAGTTGTGTTTCGCTCCATACAGGCTAAAATGTGTAACTTCTGCCACATACATGTAGCTCCACCCGTTCTGTTTCTCTCTCAGTCCTCATTGTACCACAGTGAGTCTATATTGTATGTGTGTGTGTGTGTCTGTGTGAGTGAGAGATAGTGTGTGTGTGTGAGTGTGTGTGTGTGTGTGTGTGTGTGTGTGTGTGTGTGTGTGTGTGTGTGTGTGTGTGTGTGTGTGTGTGTGTGTGTGTGTGTGTGTGTGTGAGTGAGAGATAGTGTGTGTGTGTGAGTGTATACTATATCTGTGTGCATGTGTGTGTGTCTGTGTGAGTGAGATACTGTGTGTATGTGTGCTTGTGTGTGTGTCTGTGTGAGTGAGATAGTGTGTGTGTGTGTGTATGTGTGTATACTATATCTGTGTGCACGTGTGTGTGTCTGTGTGAGTGAGATAGTGTGTGTGTGTGTGTGTGTATGTGTGTATACTATATCTGTGTGCACGTGTGTGTGTCTGTGTGAGTGAGAGATAGTGTGTGTGTGTGTGTGTGTGTGTGTGTGTGTGTGTGTGTGTGTGTGTATATATGTGTGTGTGTGTGTGTGTCTGTGTGAGTGTGAGATAGTGTGTGTGTGTGTGAGTGTGTGTGTGTGTGTGTATACTATATCTGTGTGCATGTGTGTATGTCTGTGTGAGTGTGAGATAGCGTGTGTGGGTGTGTATGTGTGTATGTAAACTATATATGTGTGCATGTGTGTGTGTATACTATATCTGTGTGCATGTGTGTGTGTCTGTGTGAGTGTGAGATAGCGTGTGTGGGTGTGTATGTGTGTATGTAAACTATATATGTGTGCATGTGTGTGTGTCTGTGTGAGTGAGATACTGTGTGTGTGTGTATGTGTGCATGTGTGTGTGTCTGTGTGAGTGAGATACTGTGTGTGTGTGTGTATGTTTTTTATTTTCTTAATACTCTTTTTTTTTTTTCATTTTTGAAGAAAATTTACAAAGCACTCACACAAAGGTTTTAAGATTTAAAAGCAATCATGGACATTTTTTTTTGTTCCATACGAGCCACATACAAACCCAATTCAATAATGCATTAATATGTAACTTCCCTGGCATCATCCGACACTGAAATGCTTTCCACAGTCCGATCCAGTCTTGTTGTGTCGGCGGCTCGGGTTGTAGCCAAGCTTTTTGCAATGGCCTTTTTAGTTGCAGCAAGAAAAATGTTTTGTCAAATAAATGTCCCTCCTTCCTACCACCTCCTATAAAATTCTCAGGTATAGCACAAGGCAACCGCCCGGAAGTTCATAACCCAGTATATTTTTTATGGTTGTTTTTATTTTATCCCAATATTGCCCCAATTTGGTACAATTCCAGAATATACAGTATGTGAATGATTAGCCTCCTTTTCTCCACACAATCTCCAACTGATGTGTTATGGAGGTTTTTCATTTTAGGTGTATTAAAAAAACGTGTCAAATTCTTCCAACAAAACTCCCTCCACATCATCGAGTTTTAGTTGTACTGTGGCGTATCACACATCCCGGGACGCAGCCTCCCACTTGTTTTCAATATATAGAGTTGAATCTTCTCGAGAGCCCTCCCGGAGAACCATCATCACCTAATTATACCAAGTGATTCATTAAATACTGTGGGCCTAATTTGTTTTATATAGAAGTCCCGTACTTTCAAATACCTAAAAAGCCTTTAGATTCATGTCCTGTGGCAGTGAAGGTGTTTTTCTTCAGCAACCAAATGTTATTTCTTCTGGACCTCCCTTCAATGTCCGTCAGTTTACTTTGCACAATCATTCGGTTTTCGCATTTATCAAAGCATCCTTCATGGCTGCGTTCAATATCTCCGCCTCCGTGATACGTGCCTCCGCTTCAGCTAGCTTGATCTCTAGAGCGTTAGCCTTCTCAGTATTTTCAGATATACTTTGGTAAACTTCATATTTCAGCGTCGCCAGCTCAGCTTTCTTCTCGTTTCTCAGCTCCTCTTTCTTCCGTAAGTCATTCTTGTTTTCAGCGCAGAACTCTTGCCAGTCTGTCTTTAGCTCTTAGCATCGAGCTAACACTTGCTGCTCCATCACCTTGTTCCGTTTATGCCATTTTCTGCCCGTTTTGTTTCTAGTTTTCACACCACCACGCATTCCAGTCTAAATTCTTGTACCAAGGCACGGTGGTCTTGAATTGGGGGGATTTTACCAACTTTGCTATCGGGAGCGCATTACTAGTCATCCATCGTGGTCGCTCGCTACCCAGAAGTCTTGTGTATGTTTTTATTTAATCATTTATTAGTGTTCCGTGTTTCTGTGCCTTCTTTAGTTAATTGTTTGTACAAAGATATTAAAAAAACTCCCACTACCTTGTATTGAAGGGTTACGATTTTAACTGCAATTTCTTTTCAATAATTATCATAAAGTCTGCTGTGGTAAATGAGTCTTTGGGAGTCTACAGGAAAACACCTTTTTAGGAAGTGAACAAGCAGGCAGACAGCACACCAGACATAAATAGTTCTTTCATATCAGTCTCTTTTATGAATTTCTCACTGGTTTTCTCCTGCTCCAGGCCTTCGTACACGTGTTTTGCTCAAGTGCAGTTTTATAGTGCGATAAATCAGTTGACAAAGCCAGTGTCTGTGTGAAAGTTTGAAGAAGTAAAAGCAATATTTTGGTTGTGACGCATGGAGCAGGAAACAGTGGACTCTGTGTCCTGAGCCAAGCTGTGGAGCTCTCTCTGGTCTCTCTCTGGTCTCTCTCTGGTCTCTCTCTGGTATCTCTCTGGTCTCTCTCTGGTCTCTCTGGTCTCTCTCTGGTCTCTCTCTGGTCTCTCTCTGGTCTCTCTCTGGTCTCTCTCTGGTCTCTCTCTGGTCTCTCTCTGGTCTCTCTCTGGTCTCTCTCTGGTCTCTCTCTGGTCTCTCTCTGATCTCTCTCTGGTCTCTCTCTGGTCTCTCTCGGTCTCTCTCTGGTCTCTCTCTGGTCTCTCTCTGGTCTCTCTCTGGTCTCTCTCTCTGGTCTCTCTCTCTCTCTGGTCTCTCTCTGGTCTCTCTCTGGTCTCTCTCTGGTCTCTCTCTGGTCTCTCTCTGGTCTCTCTCTGGTCTCTCTCTGGTCTCTCTCTGGTCTCTCTCTCTGGTCTCTCTCTGGTCTCTCTCTCTGTCTCTCTCTGGTCTCTCTCTAGTCTCTCTCTAGTCTCTCTCTCTGATCTCTCTCTGGTCTCTATCTGGTCTCTCTCTGGTCTCTCTCTGGTCTCTCTCTCTGATCTCTCTCTGGTCT